AGAACCTAGAGCCACAAATTCAGGACCCTGTGCTGACGGCCTCCCAGCAGCCCTGGTGTAGAGATGCCGAAAATCACCTGTCCCTGGGCCTGCAATGTGAACAGCTCCTTCCATTTGGCTCCTTCTGGCTGGCCCCACATTTTACTACCTCCCGCAGGAGTGGCGTGGGACGTCAGGGCTGGCAGAAGGCTGCTGGCACAAGCTGCGTTATTTCAAACCCTGACACCATCCCCTGCTCACTCTGGCATGGGCAAGTTACATAGACTATTTGAACCTCAGTTTGTGCACCTGTAAAATGGGTATAGAGATCATATCTGCCTCATAAAAGTTGCTGCTTGAGGAATAGCCATGAAGTACTTGGAACAGAACCTGGGCTGGCCTAAGGACTGTATCCACATTAGTGAGCCCTAGGACTCCGCACACCTGTCCTGGCACAGGGTGGTAGGGACTGTAATGTCCAGACCCCAAATCAGATGATCACAATGCGACCTGATGCCCACCACCACCTGCCAGACCCAGATTCTGACCGGGTTCGGGCACCCACCCCCACAAAGCCTCATTTGGGTGAAGCTCGCTCCCCTGTGGAGCTCAGATGTCAGCTTCAGAGGATCAGGAGAGGGGACGGGCTGATGCAGCGCTGGGCTTCTGAGAAGAGGCTTCTCCAGAGGGTCTGGCCTCTCCCTGGCACCCCACACCCTCTCCTCTGCAGCAGTCCAGGGCCCACCTCATGCAGGCTGCCCTAAGAACATTCTGGGTTTGGTGGGCAGGCTCTGCAAGGGCTTGTTGCAGGAGGAACTGGGCTTTACCGTTTGACTCCCAGTTGGTCCCCTATCTCCCTGGATTAGTCTCTTGCCTCCCTCAGCATCGCCCTCAAGCACACTGACTGCCACTGGGTCTATCCTCTCCCACCCTGGGCATTCTCCCTCAGCCTGGAACGCTGTCCCCACCTGCACTGCTAATGCATCCTTCTTCAGTTCTCAGCTCACGGGCCAGTTTTCCAGGCCTTTTTGACCCCTTAGGAAAGATGCAATCCCCCTTCCCCAGCTAGGCCGCAAGCCCTCTGCAAGCAGGGCCATATCTGCCTGTCCAAAACCAGGCAGGACAAGGTTAAGGAGCCATAGCCATTGCTCACTGCAGAGCTGGGTGTTTTTGGCAGGGAGCAAGGAAGGACAGTCCAAGGATGGAATGCTGGAGAGCTCGGTGTGGATTGGGGGTCATAAGGCTCCCTGGAGAGAAAGGAAGTTCCCATGGTGGGGCTGGCACAGACACTGCAAAGGGGGATGCTGGAAACAAGCTCAGAAGGACAGAGTGACTTTCACGCTGCTGGACTCAGGAGGAGATGGGGTGGGGGCAGCATCCCTAAATGCCTGCCTAGTGTGAGGACAGGGGACAGGCCTGGTCTCCCAGATGCTCACACAAGACTTATCCCTGCCCTTGCCTCAGCACAGGAGCAGGGCCCTATAGCCAAGGGGTGCTCAGTAACCACTTGTGGGTGGGTGGTTGGGTGGGTGGATGCATGCATACATAAAAGAGTGGATGGAAAACTGAATGAACTGGTTGGTGGGCAGGTGGCTGGGTGGTGGGTGGATCAAAGAGTGGATGGATAATTGAATGAATTGATTAGTGGATTGATGGATGCTGGGTGAATAATATTTAATGCAAGGAAACTGGGCAAAAATGAGAATATATTTTGATTCCAACAGTCTGTACTCTCAGAGAAGTCAGGAAGAACCAGAAAAGGTCAAATACTTTGTATTACCTGTATAAGAAAATTAATATTGACCTATGTGTTAAGGTGACCTGTGCTCCATAACCCAAGGAAATAAGCCAGAAACCCAGGGGCTAGAAATGACACGAGCTTTAAGAGGAAACAGGGGCCATGGGCAGCCCTCTCTAGAGGCTTCCTACCCCACCCTGACCCTGGGTTCTGGCCACACCTCTGTGTGGTGCAAGAGCCACAGGCTATGCCTCAGGAGGAGTCGGAGCCCCCTCTGCCCCCAGAGCCACCTCAAGCTTGGGGGTATCCAGAGGCTACAGGGTTGACAGTCACATAACATCTGCCTGTGTCCTCCCCCATCCCAGCCTGGGATCTGGAACTTAGGAGGGATAGAAGGGCCTAGGCCAAGCTTAAGAAGCAATGGATTTTCTAGACAGACCCAGAGTGGTGTGTGTGCGTGCATGTGAGCCAGCAGATGTCCCTGGGCTGACGTGTATCTCTCTCTGTCCTGCGAGCACTTTCTTCTGAAGCAGTTCCCATGTGTTGGGCGACACACACTCCCATCCCTCGGGCTTGCACTTGGAGGCAGTTGAAGAGACCCAGGCACGCCATGTCCTCGCATACACACTCACACACAAACATGTGTGTGACATGCATGGGCAGAGTGACAGCACACCATCCCAGGGACAAGAGGCAGGCCAGAGAGCCACAGCCCACAGGCTACTGGTCAGGAGCCCTTGGCAGTTCTGGGGCAGAGGCCGGGCGGTGTGGCCCTGAAGCTGGGGAGGCTCAGAATGAAGACAGATGAGGCCCTTCCCGAGCTTTGGGGCCAGCTCTGCCGCCCATCCATCTCCTTCACATCAGGGCATCTGCGAAGGCTCCCAGTTCCAGGGCACAGGGGCAGGAGGGTGAGAGATTAATCACCATTCAGCAACTGAGTTATTAATCACTCCATCTGCCTGATCCACGCAGCCAGGGCAGGGCTGTCCTCAGTCAAAGGGACCTCAGGCCCACGACAGTGCGACGGCCTCAGAGAGCCTCAGTCAACAAGTGGGGCCTGTGGGAGCAGGGGAGGGTCCCTGAGCAGGGAGGGGCAGGGGCTTTGTGAGAAGTGGGCTTCCGAGGGTGAGAAGCCAGGCCTGCAGCAAATGGGGGTGTCTCCCTGCCCTGGTAAGGGAGGAGCAGAGGCCATGGGACTCCTGCAGGTGCTGGGGTGACTGGGGGTGGGATGGGGTGTGCATGGGATGAGGATTCCAGGGGGTCACGGCCGGGGAGGGGGTGCAGCTTCCTCTCAGCTCACCCCCAGCTCATGGTCCTTCCTGTGTCCCTCTCTGCCTTCTTCCATCCAGATCAACTTCGTATTTCTGTTCAACATCGTCAGGATCCTAATGACAAAATTACGAGCATCCACTACGTCTGAGACGATCCAGTACAGGTACGTGAATGGGTGCCTTGATCCTCGGCAGGGGAGAAATGAGGTTATCTGGGCCATCCTCCTGCCGCCAGTCAGAGCCCTCGAAGTCCTTACTCGAGCTCCCAGAAGAAACATCCCAAAGTGTACCCCAATATCCCAGCGAGTGAGATCCTGCCTGCAACAGGGCTTGGACCTGTGTCCCCCCTGTCACCCCCAGGAAGGCAGTGAAGGCCACCCTGGTCCTCCTGCCCCTCCTGGGCATCACCTACATGCTCTTCTTCGTCAACCCTGGGGAGGACGACCTGTCGCAGATCGTGTTCATCTACTTCAACTCCTTCCTGCAGTCGTTCCAGGTGGGGCCCCCACTGTGAGCTTTCCTGGCCTGCTGTGCTCAGGCAGCCATGTCCTCACTACGACGAGCACACAGGACTGGCGCCCACGCGCTTCAGTGACGTACATACTGAGATGTAAGCGTGTGCACACTGTCAGCCTAGGGCTGGCCCCAGACACTGCCCAGGCTGCCCTGGCCTGAGCCCTGCCCCTGTCACCCCCACCCCAGGGCTCAGATGTCCCAGCACCTCTTCTGAGGACTCAGGGCACAGGTCACATGGTATTTAGGAGGCTGGAGTCCTGGCTATAGGCCTGAGACCACCTCTCACTCGGAGTGGACCCTGGTACACCTCACCTTGAGGGCTGCAGCCATGAGTTCTGAGGCCCACCCAGCTCTGACCCCCTGGGATCCTGGGTCATATTCTCCCAGCCATCCTGTCTCCCGCTCACCCCTCCAGGCAGAGTGACTCCCCACGCAGGCCACTGACTGCTCCCTCCTTCCTTTCTAGGGTTTCTTTGTGTCTGTCTTCTACTGCTTCTTCAACGGAGAGGTAGGAGGCCGGGCCCTCAGGGTGGCCTGGGTTCTCAGGGTCCTCAGACCCCATTCCAGGGCAGTGCCAGTCAAGCCACCTAACCCTTCAGGAGTGCCGAGGTCCTTGGCTCTGTCAGCTCTGCCCTGGAGAGGGGAGGGGAAGGCCTGAGAAACCGCCTCAGCCTTAGGGGAACAGGAATCTACCTTTGGGGACTGGAGCCAGTTTAGAAGGTCAACTGTGAAGGCCAGAAATAATATGCAGCACTCCGCACATGCCCTCGGAGAGCTGGGTGCACAGGGGATCCAGGCTGCAAGGCCTGACGGAAGAGAGGACCCAGAACAGAGGTGGTGACAGGAGGAAGCTTCCAGAAAGAGGTGAGGGGTTTGCCATGCCATCAGGTGTTTATGGACTTAGGGAGCAGAAAAGACACCAGCACATTCATTTTTCCCACCACAGTAAAGACAACAACGCCAGGCAGGCTCTGGGGAGTGAGGTGGCCAGTGAAGGCTGGCTGAAGTGTGCACTCGGGCAGGGGTGGGAGGACACGGAGCAGACAAAGCCGCCAAGGCCTAAGGGCTTCTACAAGCTCCAGAGGAATGCCAGTGCCCACCTGGGGCCACCGTGGGTCTGCACAGGTGGTGCCTATGCAGGCCTGGGTCTTGTCAACTGAAGCACATCCAGATGCAGAATCCAGCAGTGGAGACTGGTTCTGTGGGCAGCAGGGTAGGGATAGTGGCAGCCACTAAGACAGACAGGTAATGAATGTTTATGGAGCATTTATTCTGTTCAAACCGTGTGCTGGGCCAGGATGCAGGGGCAGGATCCATTTTACAGAAAAACTCAATTACAACACAAACGAGAACCAAATGGCACCAGACCCAACCAGGCCTGGAAATGAATACAACTGTCAGCTTCCCCTGCTTGGCAGGGGTGCTGTGGGAAGGAGGCAGGTCAGGAGGAGGCAGAGGAGGGAGGGCTGCAGAGAGGGAGGATAGGTCTTTCCCGGGAGAAGGGAGCAAGCTGGGGGGCGTGTGCTGGACTCACACCTGCAATGCCCCACTGGAGCAGGGCCTGAGAGGGCGGGAGGGTGGATTCCAGAAGCTGGCTTCTCTGGCCCCGGGAGGCTAAACTCAAGTGCCCGAGGCACTGTGCCCAAAGGAAACTGGATATTTTGGGGGAGGAGGGTGGTGGATAATGTGGAACAAAGGAAGCGTGGGGGTCAGGCTTCTGCAGGAGAGGGGTGAGGAGGAGGGGCCCCTGGAGACAGGCTGCAGAGAGGAGGCGATAAGGTCAGGGGAAAGGCCTCGGTTTTGAAACCAGCCAGCCCCTTGGTATGTGAGTGGCCTTTGGGAGGGTCCCCCTGGACTCTCTCCCCAGCCCTTCGAGGAAGGGAGCTGGGAGCCCTACGTTCCAGAGGCCCAAGATTGGCTCTGGCTGCGGGCTGAGCCTCGACCTCCCCCACAGGTGCGCTCAGCCGTGCGCAAGAGGTGGCACCGCTGGCAGGACCATCACTCCCTCCGAGTCCCCGTGGCCCGGGCCATGTCCATCCCCACGTCGCCCACGAGGATCAGCTTCCACAGCATCAAGCAGACGGCCGCTGTGTGACCTGTCAGTCGCCCACCTCCCCGCCACTCCTCCCCATCCTCCTCCGTGTTCTTCCCCCGGGTCCTCCTCGCTGTGCAGCCCCAGTGGGCAGGAGGAGGGCGGGAGGGGCCAGCCCGGCAGCCGGCAGGAAGGAGGCACACAGCCACGGAAGGGGGCTCCCGGGGCCCAGGGCCAGCTGGGGCCGCAAGTCTCAGTGGGAGAGGGAGCAGAGGGAGGTCACAGGGACCTCCTGAGTCGAGCAGGTCGGATGTCTTCAGGCATATGCCCACCCAGCCTCTCTCACCTGGCCCTCACTGTAGCCCCATTCGCAGATGAGGAAACTGAGGCCCAGAGCGGGAAGGGCCTGCCCAAGCCACACAGCTAATTAGTGGCAGACACAGGCCTCCTCCACCCCACTCACAGTGCCAGCAGCCAGGGGATGGTTTGGCCCTGTGCCCTGCTGCCTTCTGCCTCCATGCTCAGTGGCGCCCTCTGCAGCAGGGGGAAGGGACACAGATGGGAGTAGAGGATTAATTTGTCTGGTTTCACCCCAGGGGCTCTCACTTGTACCCCACCCCTGACCAGGCTGTCCCTCAACCCCTTCCCAGACATCCTCCTGCCCCTGGAGCTCCATGAAGGATGCTGGCTTTCAGGCCTGGGTAACCTCTCTGCCTATCCACAGATGGAGGCTTGCAGAGGGGCAGTTGGGGAGGTAGACACGGCCAGGACAGCCACTCTAAGGCCAGCCAGACACACAGTGCAGGATGAATAGGAAGGTATGGGGGTGGGGAAGGAGCAGCCAGAGTATCCTTTGGTGATTGGAACTAATCCCCCAACCCCCTCCTCAGACTGGGCTTCACAGTCCCCTCTAGAAACATCTCTGCTCTCTGTGAAATAAACCATACCTCTTGGAAATGGCCTCCCCTCAGATCAAGTCGAGTGGGCATCAGAAAGGGTGGTGTGGGGCCGGCCCGGTGGCGCACTCGGTAGTGCGGTGCTTGGGAGTGTGGTGGCGCTACCACCAAGGGTTCAGATCCCATATAGAGACCGGTCCGCTCACTGGCTGAGCGCAGTGCGGGCGCGACACCGGGGGTTGCGATCCCGTTACCGGTCACAAAAAAAGACAAAAAGGAAAAAAAAAAAAGAAAGGGTGGTGTGGACCAAGTATGGTGGGCTGGGTTGGCTGGGCCACACCCATCCTCCTTAGCAGAGACTCTGTGACTCTGGCCTCTCTGACCTGTGGGAGGTTTGGAGTCTCTGTGGTCAAAGCACCTGTAGCCAAGTCTGTCCCTTATCACTCCTTTAGGATAATATCTGTCCAACCAAGGGCAGTTTAATTCAGCATGGAGGAGGCGTGCAGTAAGCTAGGGCCTGTCCCAAAGGCCAAGGTTCTGGAATCAGGTGGGAAGGGCAGACAAGGCCCCCAGGTTCCAGGAGCAACCACCAACAGGGCGGTCTCCGACTTGACTTGACTTCCATCCTGCGCCTCTCCAGGAGAGCGGCAGGAGTCCAGGGGAGGGAGCAGACATCAGGACACTGGTTCCAAAAGGACTTCTGCTCTAAGTACCCACCACAAAATAAGTTTTGAAAAAGTACGTACCCCATCTTGCAGACTTTTAAGTTGACATCTAATACAGTATTTTTTACATAAGTTTTAAAACATGCAAAGGATATGATTTCTGGCATTTGGTAAATATTTACATTTTAAAACAAAACTGCCACAACACTTTAAAATACATCAGATGGAATCTAAACACCACAGTGATTTAATACCCACCCTCATCTCTTTTAAAAACACGTGAATTGGGTTTTCCCTAACAGTAGAAATTTGGTGGTGTTCCTTTTCTCTTTAACATGTATCCCCATTCCATTGCCCCTATAGAGTCTTATACCAATGCAGCATTTTTATGGTGGAAAGTCTTTCATTGCTCACCTTATCACACTTCCCTGCCACAAAATTTATCTATGAATTGATATTAAAATACTTAGTTCCCTGTGACCAAAGGTTCTAAGGGTTTTTTAGAGTCTTCTGGATTGCGTTATTGCAACTACCTTTCACATAAAAGTAGTAAACAATTGATTAAAACAACATAGATACCGAAAGTTTTCATAGATAATTAATTATTAAACCTAAAAAGGAAAATTTATTGAAAACACGTCTTAATGAAATGGATAGGAACTTAATCGTTCATGAATCTACGGATGAATATTTATTAGTAGAATGAATCAGGACTTAGCATTAATTCTTTTCTTTTTTTCATTTTTTATAGCTGTGCTTACTAAGAAGGCTTTTCAAGTCGATGAGTAGATGCTCTAGCAATGTCACCCAATTCTCTATGCTCCTCTGAGATGTATCCCCAAAATTGCATAGTGATCTGTCATCAAAAATGATCTATCAGAGGACCATTTGATTAATTGCCACCTGCCCCTGTGTGTCTATTGGATGGTGCTTGGTGGAGCCAGCAACGGGTGTCAAGGCTGGGCAAGCATCAGGTGCCATGAGGGCTGGGGCGAGCCTGCCTGCTGCTTGTGTTAGACAGGAGGGCACTTGGGGCTCTTGCTTTTGTTTTCTAGAGACAGAGCTCATGCGTGTCTTGGAAAGTCTTCTTGGGCACCCAGAGGCAGAGTAATGGCCACATTTGTTGGCATCCTGGGGGCCCTTGGAGAGCAAGAGCTGCAAATGGGTCGGCCCCACGAGACCACTTGGAGAGCTCTATGGGCCAGAAGAGACTGAGTGGCACTCATCAGAGCAGACCTGCCACTCCAAGTCCGACCGCTCGTCACCGCCCTCCTAGGCAGCCCTCAGCACATTATCCCACCTGGGCCCTGCTCCCTGGAGGATCCCTGCTGGAACCAGGCCTGCCCAGGCCAGCACTGAGAAGACAGCAGAGATGCTCACTTTGTTGAGCAGGCGGTTTGAAAGGAGGCTCCTCCTTGGTCTCGCCTCAGCCCTGTATCCCCTCATTACCTGGGTTTCTGGACACAACCCCCACCGAGTTCTGCCCTTGAAATGCCACTGGAGCCATTAGGCCATCTCTCTGGTCCACACTCATTAACTTTGTTAGGAACCTGCTCCTGCAGCCATGCCAGTCCTCATTAGCCTCTGCCTCCACGCTGGCGGCCCCTCGCTGAGTGGGCATTCCTGGAAAGTGTCCTCATTAGTAGGCTCTTCTTG